GGTGACACTATACTGCTAGGGTGACAGTATGTAAAAAAAAAAAGTTTAAAAATTATAATTTTTGGTTAAACTAATTTGTATTTTTTTTTTTTTTTTCTACTAAAGAGATAACGGAATAAATTTTCGCCAAGATTTATGATGAAATATTATTTATTTGCAAAATTTTATTAAAAAAAACTTTTTTTCAAAATTTTTGGACTTTTTCATTTACATAGCAAAAAAAATTAAAATCCCAGCGGTGAATAAATACCACCAAAATAAAGCTTTATCTGTCTCAAAAAAATGGTAAAAAATTCATTTGGGTAGGGTAGTGTTGCATGACCGCGCAATTGTCATTCAAAGTGTGATAGCACTGAAAGCTGAAAATTGCCCTGGTCAGGAAGGGGGTAAAAGTGTCCGGTCTGGAAGTGGTTAAGGAATAAGTTTTTCTTTGGGAATAGATGAAAGCAGCCCTAACAGAAGATGGGGGGGGGGGGGGGGAAGAAAAAAAAAAAACTTAGACTTCATGGTGCTACTGCACCTCTGCAAAAGTACAAACCATCTTTTCTATATCCATTGCTATGGAATGTTGAGTATTTCTAAGATAACCATTTGGAGATCGCATTGGCAGTGAGTTGTGAAGTCCATGTTATAATGAGCAAGCTCAGGAAATCCTAACACTAGTTATACACAGTTATAAACATAGTACATTTTTGTGTCTGAGGCCACATTGTCCAAAGAGCCTGAGGATGTGACAGAATTCAAGCAACAAGGCCTGGAAATAATACAGGAACTTGGGAAGCCAAGAGATTTTGATGTCATTCTTCCAACCTAGCCAGGAAATAGGATGTTGTCCTCTGGCTCCTAAAAAGGCAGTAAATCTACTTCTGATTTCATTTTCATCCAATGTTACGCTACACAGACTCGCCAAACATCTACTTATTCTAGTGTGACAAATATAAGGCCTAATAACCCATGTGTTTGTTACTATAAGCTGAACTAAAATACAACAGCAGCAAGGGTGCATAGGATATTAGCATCTTCTGTTGACCCCCCCACCAGATGGCTCTTACTTACATCACCAGTTGATGGTCAAAACCAAAATGGCAGGCTCTTACAGTGTGGCTCAATTTTTGGATATATTATTTTAGGGTGGGTGACTTTAGGATCAACCCACATGAACATTAGGGAGAACTAGTTACCTCACCAAACACAGAGGGACACTGTTAGGACAGTCAGCTTCCTCTAAAAGTATAATTACAGCAGAATCCTAATTAGGTTTAATTTAACCAGGTAGTTAAAATGCCTGAGGAAGGAAAGTGGCACATTATGCATGAATTTGTGCTTCATCAGCTTAAAATACTCATGGGTTCAAGGACTGATGATGGATGAGAAGACATTGGTCACAATGAGCAATCCCATTCAAAGGTGCTAATAGGGTTGAAGTCAGTATGCAGACCAATCCACTTCCATTACACCAAACAAGAGCAGTCATGCTGAAACAGAACAGGGGATTTCCTAAACTAAAGGTTTGAAAGCGCACTATAGTCTAAAATGTATGCATATTATACCCTTACTGAAACCTGGAGCACAGTCCCAGACTACTATCTACCAAACTAAGGTAAGCAGTGTAGATGGTAGCATTCTCCTTCTAAACACAGATTCATCCCTAAGGCAGCCAGATAGTAAAGATAACTCTTCACTCCACGAAACACATTTCCATTCCTCCCAAATCTAATGGCAACAGCTGATGTTAGGTACTGCGCAGTTATTTGAATTAGGGTGCAGCTACTCGGCTATAGAAAGTTCCCAACATCAGATCTTGTGCTAATGTTCCTGCTCGTGGTCAATCCCAGCGATCGTTGAGTGGGTGCTTTAGTTTTTACTAACACAGAACCAATCTGAAAAAAATGGTTTGAGCTTGCAACAGCCCACACAGCCTGTAACTGACTGGCAGTGTGACTCTGCTTCTGGGACAGTCTGATACACTTACTGTAGAATTAAAAAAAAACCTTTGACTCACCTGTAAATTTCATATAGTACAATCAGGGCCACTGATAAGTAAGTACCACCAGGCCTCCGGTAGGGGGCCCAGGCCACATCACAGAACAGGGGGACCCAGACAGCAGCTTCAGGCTTCATGTAGGATCATGTGTACAGTCAGTGCATACATACCGTTCCCCTGTGTGTATGGCTCCTGGGTGGTGGTAACATTATTCCTGGGGTGGGGGGCCATCAGTTTATCCAGAGGGCCGGGAGACCAGGGGGACTTTTTTTTCTTTTTCGAGCACCTGCAGACTTGCACTATCCTGTGATGGTCTGCATTTGAGGACATGAAGTCCTGGCTCTCTCGGTCTCTGATGCCGGCCGGCAGACTGATTCAGCTTGCCTAAGTTGTCCTGCACACTGCCTGCCTCCTTCAGCAAGTAAGTGCTGAGCGAATCAAGGAGAAGAAGAGGTCTGTCAGGTTGGGGGCAACTGAATGGAACTGGAAGTGACCTGTGACGGCAACATGTGCGATATCCATCTACTCAGCCAGTCCAGCAATGTAAACAGAAGGATCTGAGCAGCAGCAGAAGTCACAGGAAAGGTACAGTAATGACATGACAGCACATACGGACCTTTCCCAATGCCCTGACCATTGCCTAAGCTATGTTCAATTATACAGCAGGGGCAAAATATAATCATCATTATCAGGATGATAGTCACACAGTACAAGTGCTTTGAGGCACCTGCACTGTGTGATTATCTTGATAATGATGATCATTGAGCCCTGGTTCACAATGGTATGATTTGCAACTTGACAGTTCCAAATCGCATATGACAAGTCGCACCCCATTGCTGGCAATGGAACCGTTCAAATTGCTGTAACTCATGTCACAGTGAATTTGAACAAGGTTCCTGAACTACTTTTTTCAGATGTCATTGCAACTTGCACTGACTACTGTTAAATGGAGTCGCAAACCACAGTAAAATCGTAGGTACAAATCTCTCTGCAGCTTTGAAATTGCGCTGAAGTAGCGCAATTGCAAAGCCACACTGGTGTGAGCCAGGGCTGAAGGAAGGACAGTCAGATGCATCCCTAAGCCAGCCATAAATGTTGATGGGGGAAACTGAACGATTCTCTTTCCTGCAACCCGTGGTTACAAGAAAGAAAATTGCATTATGTATGGGGCCTGTCTATAACAGGCTGGCGAAAAAAAAAATCTCTTAAAGACAAAGATGCATATTTTTTTTTTTTTAGGTGGGTAGGCAGGGTCAGGGGGGATGGGGTCAGGGTTTTGGGAGGCCCCACCAGGAAGGCTGTACAGGACCCCAACAATAAAGAAGGTTGGGCAACAACATGAAAAACAGGGTTCTTTGATAGGTTCAAAGGGTGGTTTCTGCAAAGCAGAAAGAACCAAATTAAGGTCCCATGGACGCACAGGATGCTGCAAGGATGATCTAACTCCAAAAACAGCTTGAATAAAGGTTTTTTTACAAGAGAAAAAGAAGCCAGAGGGTTTTAGAGCAAAATGGACAAGGCTGAAACTTGTCCTTAAGAAAAAGTTTTGCTTTTTAGTTTTTCTATTCTTTTGGATAGCAAAGAAGGTTATAACTCCTGTCTTTTTTTTTTTACATTTGTGCCCCATAGCCAAAAAGGAAATTGAGAGGAATTTCCCTGAAACCAAAAAGCTTGTTTGGAAGATGTCAGGGCTCATCTCCTAGAAGTATGAGTAAGTCTGTGTACCAGGTTCTCCTGGCCACTTTTGTGCACCAGTGGTTTCTTCTCTTGCTCTATTTTGCACAGCAGTCAAGACAGAATTCACACTGGAGGAAAGGCATGTATGAACTGGAACAGGGTCTAGGGAGTTATCAGCTCACCCAATGCAGGTGCTAGAGGACTCTCGGTTCTGGCTACAAACAGGGTTGATTTGTTGTTGAACCAGGAGGCAAGGATGTCCACATCTAGAGTGCCACATTTCTAATATAGGAAATTGATGATGCCAGGAGGAAAGGGCCATTCCCTGTTGTCCAGTTGGTGATGGCTGAGGTAAGCTGCCTTCACATTTTTCACTAATGGGATGTGAACAGCAGAGAGGGATTGACAGTGTTTTTCCACCAATTGGATGATCAGACTTCCTTGGGTGACTATTTTTCTGGAACCCTGAGGGATTGGAATGCTCCAAACTGTGAGACTGGCACCTGTTATCACCCTCCATGCAACAGAGTTCCTTGCTTGACTGGAGAGGCGCATGAGTTGAAAGAAGGAGCAAGCCTGTTCCAACCAACAAGATGTTGCGTTAAAGAGGCCTTGAGTGGAATTGTATGAAGGGGGCAGCCATGAATAAGGTTACCATGAGCCCAGACTCTCATAGAGAATCTCACTCAGGGATGTTTCTTTAATCTTAAGATGTGAACATAAGAAAGGATTTTGTTTTCTGGAAGAAAGAATTTTGCTTGGGCTGTGTCTAGAATGAGGCCTAAGTATTCTAGGAGAAAGAAAAGGTCGGAGAGTAGACTTTTGAATATTGATTACCTAACCAAAGGCCTAAAGTACCTGAAACAGATAGCTGAAGGGGAGATGACTCCCTCAGAAGATGGTCATCTAGGTCCCCTGATGCCTGAATGCTGTAAGTTCTTAAAGTGTTACTAAACTCAAAACAGTAAAATCAGTCTGTATATGCAGTAAAGCATGCTTGTTATACAAACTGTGGAACCTAAGGCTATAAAAAGGCTGTTTCATCCTGACTTCTCTGATCCTCCCCTTCTTCCAGTGTCCCCCTCATTTCCTGATAAGACATATGGTGTGGAGACACTGCACATGCTCAGTTTAGTGTGTGTTGCTAGAGCTTTTTTTTTTTTTTTATTGGGAGAGTGCATGTGATCAGCTCAGGGCCAATCAGCACTGCCCAAAGGTCAGGGGTTCTGCATCATCCTACAAACTTTAACATCTGCTCTGCTGGACAGTGATAGAAGTCATAAAAGGTTTTTAGCAGTTTATATTTACTAAAATAATTGCATTTCCATGTTCTGTGTACTGTGGGAGACCACATATAGTGAATGTGCGGTCCTGGGTTTAGTAACCCTTTAGGGGACAAGAAGAGGTGCAAGTACCATTGTAAATCCTTTGGGTACAGAGGATAGGCCAAATGGCAGAGCAACAACTGGATTTGTTTCCTACTGCGAAGAGCAGAAAAAAGCACAGATGAGGTGGGTAAATGGGGAAAAACGATAAGCATCTTAGATGTCTATTGATGCTAAGTATTTTCCTTTTTTTCAGAGAAGCAATAACTGCCCTTGCAGATTCCATGAAAAATGTTGGAATGTGAAGTTACTTGTTTAGGGATTTAAGGTCCAAGATAAGATTAATACCCCTCTAGAGTTTTATACCGTGAATAGATTTAAATAGAATCCTTTGAACCTGTCCTCCAGAGAAAATGGATTGGAGTGACCACTCACGGGGGAAAAGAGATGGTTCAGGGAAATCTACAGATCTAACTGCCTTTGAAAGAAAAAAAAAAATGAAGGGTTTTGGGGTGGACTTAATAGGTTTTTATGTTCCAAGTCTTGCGCTGGAAAGGAGTACTGCATTTTGCCTTTGAAGAAATATATACATGCTCAAAAAAAAAAAGTATAGCATTAAGTCAATTAAACTCCTGGGATAATAATCTTGTCAGTTAAGTAGCAGAGGGGGTTGTTAATAAGTTTTAGCTGCTTTGGTGTTAATGAAATTAACAACAGGTGCACTACATGGGCAACAATGAGACAACCCCTAAAACGGGAATGGTTTTACAGGTGGAGGCCACTGACATTTTCTTCCCTACTCATCTTTTCTGACTGTTTTCACTAGTTTTGCATTTGGCTAGGGTCAGTGTCACTACTGGTAACATGAGGCGATGCCTAGACACTACAGAGGTTGCACAAGCAGTCCAACTCCTCCAGGATGGCACATCAATACGTGCCATTGCCAGAAGGTTTGCCGTCTCTCCCAGCAGTCTCAAGAGCATTGAGGAAATTCCAGGAGACAGACAGTTACTCTAGGAGAGCTGGACAGGGCTGTAGAAGGTCCTTAACCCATCAGCAGGACCAGTATCTGCTCCTTTGTGCAAGGAGGACAAGGATGAGCACTGCCAGAGCCTTACAAAATGGTGTGAATGTCTCTGACCAATCAGAAACAGAGTTCATGAGTGTAGCCTGAGGGCCCGACGTTCTTTAGTGGGCCCTGTGCTCACAGTCTGGCACCATAGAGCTCAATTGGCATTTGCCATTGAACACTAGAAATGGCAGGTCCGCCACTGGCACCCTGTGTTTTTCACAGATGAGAGCAGGTTCACCCTTAGCACATGTGACAGACGTGAAAGGGTCTGGAGAAGCCGTGGAGAATGTTATGTGAAGTAGGGTTAAAGTGGATACACCCAAGGGGCCTGTCCAGCAAAGCTTTGCTAGTGTCCAATTATCTGACGGTACCAGCCAATAACCCAGGGTCTATGAATATCCCACCTGTGTCCTGTACTGTACATAAAGATAGGTGATGTTTCAAAAATATTTTGAAATAGTATATTACATTTTTATCTACTTGTCAGTCTATAAAAATATTACACGTTTATTAAAATAGTACACAAAATAAAATCCTTACAAAAAAGATGCATTTGTTTAGAGAGGCAAATTAGATTTATAGTCAAACTAATAAAAATAGACAGTTAAATTTTGCCAGGGCACCTAGGCATTAATATACCCCGGGCACAGAAAGAGCTTAATCAAAGTAAACACCTTTTTGTGACAGTAAAACTTCAGCACTTATAACCCTCCTTCACAATCAGTCAGCTGCAAGCACAAACTACAATCTTGAGCCTGTACCCCAATTGTATGTAGGTTGGGGATCATAGGGACCTGTCCTTCACTTCTAAGATGCTCTTTTAATACCCAATCATTTTACTGACCTGTTGCCAAAAAACTAATTAACTGGGGAGTGTTCTCCCACCTCTTTGTTGTTAGTACCACTTACTTTGCCAGCTTTTTGTTGCCCTGTCCCAACCTTTTGGAGACAAGTTGCTGCCATCAATTCCAAAATCACCTTATTTTTTTTTTCTTAAATTGGTAAATGTTCCCAGTTTACACATTTGGTATGTTTTCTTTTTTCTATTGTGAATAAAATCTGGATTTATAACATTTGCAGTTCACTGCATTGTTTTTATGTAGATTTTACACGGTGTCCCAACTTTTTTGGAATTGGGGTTGTATATTGGCAAACTAATCATAATTAATGAGTTGCCTTAGCGTACCACAAGACATCACTACAGGCAGTCCCAGAGTTACCAACTGTAGACTTAGATATGACTCATACTTAAGAATGGAGGCAGCGTGACATCACGCTGGACCCGGAAGCCGCTGGACGGCCATCTTGCAGCTCACCACATGCTGCCACCTACTGACCGGCGGACCTGTCAGAAATCCCACATCACTGCTTGGCCAGTTAACCCTTCTCTATGCTATCCAAAACTTAATTTTTATGGCTGGGGTTACACTTAAAAAATTTACCTGTTCCAACTTGCATACAAATTCAACTTAAGAACAAACCTACAGAACCTATCTTGTCCATAAACTGGGGACTGCCTGTATAGTGTGAACCATCCCTAAAGTTAGGAGTGAGCTACAGTGACTTAATGAATGAGATGAAATAATATATAGATGTATATACATTTGTCCTGATGCATAATGTGTTTTGGAGATAAAGTATATTTGCAGAATACATCCGACAGCACCCTTGCTGAATTCCATATACAGAGGTGTGAACATCATGCTTTCTGCAAGGAAAGTGTCAGATGATAAAAATCTCACATTCCTTCATGGAGAAAACAGCCTAACTAGGAAGACATTTAAAGAAAACAACAACATATAGTCCTATCATCTTTGTTTTAATCAGTTTACAGGAAAAATTGTCTTACTGAATGGAATTTAGTTAATTAAGCTGTTCAATCTGCCAGTATTTTTTAAATGCCCAGTACCTGCAGGCACACGATTACCCAATAACTCATAACAAACTGGAGAAACAAAGGAAAAGTGTTGCCCCTGGCAAACCAGATTTTGTTTTAATTATTTTTAATTAATATTTTTTTTTTTTAAACAAGCCAGATAAAAAAAAAAAAAAATCAGCCAATATCTGGCAATGAAAATATGTTACTTTCAATTTTCTCAGAAACTGCTGTTAAGAAAGAAACATGGCAGCCACTGCTGACCTCTTTCTGAAAAGACTTTGACTCACTGACCCAGAACATGTAAGCAGATAAGACATCGGATTTTCCTCCAACCTGGTTTGCTTACCTGTTCTAAATTAGTGACCCAAAATACTAAAGCCAAGGCCAGCATTACAGCCAGGCAACACATTTTCAGAAGGTAGTCAGCAAACACCCCTTAAAGTGTTTTTTTTACAACTTGACAGCTTTAAAACACTAATGTTTTTAGTCTACCACTAGAGTTAAATTAAACAGAATCGAAGAATAATTGCAATAATATTTAAAACATAAGGAACATTGTGTAATGAACTGAGAAAGGCTGTGCTCACTCTCATACATCTTTAAATGGGTCTACGCCGATGGCTTCAGCAGCTGCAGCAGGTCAAATATACCTGCAATGAATTTTGAATGCTCTCCAGTGGTAATTAAATGTCAAAAGCATGCTGGATTTGCCCATCAAATCTCTTGGACACAGACCCAAAGAAACCTGTCATGAGGAAAACATGGGCCTTTGCTGACATATCATTCTGTAAAAGCTAGATGTTTTTGCTGCCATGTTGATTTAATCGAGTCGGTGACCCTGAACAAATATACGGGTAAGCAATCCTGAATTTCTTTTGATTTTCTTGACCTGCATATTTGTCTTGGATCAATGACTCAAAGCACTGAAGCCAGTGGGTCAATGTACAGGCAGGGAAAACAGGTCCCCAATTCTGTTTCGAGAGGTTTACTTTAATTGAATCTCTTACCTGCACATATACGAATGCCAGCCATTTTTTACACTGGATCACTATGCACTGATGGCACCAATGCTTTCACAAGATATAAATCATTGTAATTCAATTCATAAAAGGTCTGTCCTGTGAATAAGACATATCCAGTTTTCAACATCAGATACAGATTGTCTTTACTAGTTTCCTCAAAGTGATAAGTCTTTTAGGAAAGATCTTGAAGGGTCCTTTTACACCAATGAATCATGGCAGTGTGTGATGTACCTCAAAGCACAATCTAATGGGTGTTGAGACATTTATTAGGAAGACACCCCAACGCACTTGTACTATAACACCTATAAAAATGCATTGGCAGCATTTTTGGCTGGCAGGCAAGGTGCAGCCCAAACCCATTTACAGCAAATTGGTCACCTTAATGCACAAAAATGCATTGTGTTAAAATGCATAGAGTAAATGGGCCCTTAGACAAATTACTGCGCTGCATTTGCAGGTACTTTTTTGCATTCAAAGACAAGAATCTGAGTTATCCAAAGTATACTTGTGTATGTTGGCACTATAAACCCAAAATTCATCCATCGTTCTCTTCCACTTGGTGGTTATATTTCTGATTATTTATTGAGGTTACAAAACAAAGATTTAAAGGCCAAAATTAAATATTCCAGCAGAGCAGCTTCCTTCCTTGGAACACTGCCTCCTGCAGGCCATGCAGCTAACTGCATCATGTCACTTTGGTAACGGTTGCGTGATGGTGCTGGAGCAGTACAGCTACAGTCTATACTCAGGCCACTGTGTTCATCAACTGCAAGGGTTCTGGAGCCATCAGGATTGTACTGTTCCCTTAAGATACCACATGCCTCCGTAACACACACAACAGTCCTGGAAAACAAAATGTATAATGATATAATTAAGAGAGCACATAAAAATTAAGTAAAAATTACCACACCTTTTTTTTTGGTTTACAAATGCTAAATGACGACAACACATTCAGAGTCATTGTCCCTATACATAAAACACTAAACGCTGAACTTTTTAAGAGATAGGTTTGTTCCCCTCGCTATTGTCGTTAAGCCCCAATATCCAAGACCATCCAAGCAGTGCTGAGGAGAAACCT